ACACAGCCCCTCCTCCCCAACCCACACATCCCATGGTCACCCGTGCGAAAGCCGGGATCTTTTGTCCTAAACAAATACTCAACCTCAACACCGTTTCCGAGGTCTCCCCCATCCCCCCTACCTACCGTAGTGCACTCAAAGATCCAAACTGGTACAATGCTATGCAGGATGAATATAATGCTTTGATTGTTAACAATACATGGGATTTAGTACCACCCTCCCTCGCCCAAAACGTTATCTCTGGTAAATGGCTTTTCAGGCACAAACTTAGCCCCACAGGTGAACTATCCAGGTATAAGGCACGATGGGTTGTCCGTGGGTTCAACCAGCTCGATGGGATTGACTATGATGAGACGTTTAGCCCGGTGGTCAAGCCCGCAACTATTCGTATCATCCTCAGCTTGGCTGTCTCTCGCGGGTGGCAGATCCACCAGATGGATGTCAAGAACGCCTTTCTTCATGGCTCTCTCACAGAGACTATCTACACAGCACAACCATCTGGGTTTCAGGATCCTGCTCGCCCTCACTACGTCTGCAAACTGAACAAGGCGCTCTATGGACTGAAGCAAGCGTCGCGGTCCTGGTATCAACGTTTCACAGGCTTCCTTCTCTCTCTTGGGTTCCGCGGCTGCAAGAGCGATACTTCCTTGTTCACTTATGGTCAGGGATCACACATGGCGTTCTTACTCTTGTATGTGGACGACATCATACTCATAGCCTCCACCCAGGCTCTCCTTCAGAAAATCATTCAGCGGCTAAAGGGGGAATTTGCTATGACAGATATGGGGGATCTCCACTTCTTTCTGGGGATCAATGTCCAGCGCACGACTCATGGATTGTTTCTCACACAGACTCAGTTCCTCTATGACATTCTTGATCGTGCAGGTATGCTCTCCTGCAAATCGGCTTCTACCCCGGTTGACACACGCGGGAAGCTATCGGCCTCAGCAAGACCACCAGCGCCAGATCCTTCCATGTACCGGTCTATCGTCGGGGCACTACAGTATCTCACTTTCACCCGTCCCGACATCACATATGCCGTCCAGCAGCTGTGGTTTTTTCTCCATGACCCACACACACCACATGTTATGGCAATGAAACGGGTATTACGGTATCTCCATGGCACACCCTCTCATGGCATCTCCATCTCTCCGTCCCCAACGGATTTTATGCAGGCCTATTCGGATGCTGATTGGGCCGATTGTCCTGATACTCGTCGGTCCACGACTGGATACTGCATCTTCCTCGACGACAATCTCATCTCGTGGTCCACCAAGCGCCAGCAGACCACGTCACGCTAAAGCGCTGAATACAGGGCTATAGAAAATGCCATAGCCGAAGTTAGTTGGGTGCGCAACTTACTCCTAGAGCTTCAGCAACCTCTCAGCCGCTCCACCTTGGTGTTCTGTGACAATGTTAGTGCTGTTTAACTCTCCGCCAATCCTGTCAAACACCAGCGCACAAAGCAAATCGAGGTTGATATCCACTTCGTCCGAGACAAGGTAGCTCTTGGACATATACGAGTCCTCCAGGTCCCTTCCTCGCTGCAATATACAAGCATCTTTACAAAGGGCCTCCCAACAATGGTCTTCTCAGAATTTCGAGATAGCTTGGGGATCCGACAATCATCGCCAGTGCCGTTGGGAGCATGTTAAATATAGTCCTTCTATATTTAATATATTCTGTATATATTATTATATTGTGTATATTCTAGTTACCATTCATGTCTATGTTTCCTTATATTGTATTTCCTAATATACATAGGATTCTCCCAGTATATATTCACTTGTAATATCACATTGTCAACCATTGGAAACAATAAATCTTTCATGGTATCGGAGCCACCGCTCTTGGTGACCTAAAACTCTCTGCGCTCGCTTCTGACGGGCGACGCCGCCATTAGCCGCCCGCCGGACCGATGTTATTCTTCCTTCAATTTAAAAGATTAGCAACTCCTCAAAAAAGCTTTCTCAACTCAGCCCCTATTTTTCTCTCAAATCACTCATTCTAATCATCAATCTTTCTTCTCTTTCTCTTTTGTTACACAAAAAATTCCAAAAAAAAACAACCAAAAAGCAAAGCCAAGAGGAGAAGTAGTGAAAGAGGAAAGAATACCTCTACACCCCTTCAAGAAAGAAATAGGGCATTGCCCAGATCCAAGAAAAAAGACAAAGAATGTCAAGGATCTTCAGTCAAACAGGCACCTCCAGTAGCCTTCTCTATTCTTCTTCGACGTTAGCAGCTACAAGCGCACGTCAACCTTCTCTCTTCTTCTTCGACGCCAGCAGCTACCAGCGCACGTCAATTTCTTTCTTCTCCAACGACGTTAGCAGCTACCAGTGCACGCCGGACTTCTCTCTTCTCCAACGACGTCAGCAGCCACCGGCGCACGTCAGACTTGTCTCTTCTCCAACGACGTGAGCAGCTACTGGCGCACGTCCCACTTCTCTCTTCTCAAAGTTTCCAGTTTCCAGCTAGTGTCCAAGCTTCCTCTTGCTTCAGCCAGAGTTCAGCTTGAGGGGGGATGTTTGACAATAATATTAATATTACTTCTGCTAGTATTGGTTATGGTAGTGTTTCATTATTAGTCAGCTTCCTAATCTTATTTGTAGTATATGGTGTATTTTAGTTAGTCTCTATTCTCTATTCCTAGTTGTGTTAGGAATCTCTTCTATATATATTCTATCATGTACTTAATAATTCAAGGAGCAATATTATTATTCCAATATTTCAACAGGCTGGGCAGGGGGGTAATTGAGGGGAAATCAAATGGAGTGGGGAGGTGGGCCGAGGAGGGTGGGCTGTTGGGAGCTGGGCCGTGGGAGTGGATTGGATTGGAGGGGGTGGTTTGGGCCGAAGGTGGGAGCGGGGTGGTGTGGGCCGAGAGGGGAGGTGATGTGGGGTAGGCCGAAAGGGGAGTGTGGCTTTGGAGGTGGCGGAAGTGTGGGGCAATGCAGTCCTCCATGGCGTCGAGGAAGTCGCAAGAATAGGGGGATTGTGGGGGTGCATATGGGAAAGTGGACTCATCAAAGGTAACATGTCGGGAGACAATAATTTTCTGAGTGGAGAGGTCCAAACACCGATAGCCACGTTGAGACTCGGGGTAGCCTAGAAAAATGCAGCGCGTAGAACGTGGGGCTAGTTTGTGGGGTGCTGTGGCGGAGTAAAAAAATTATTTCTCTGAGAAAATATCTTCTCTCATATATACAAAATGTTTTTTCAAAATAAAAAAGGATTGAAAATAGTTTTCAGAAAAAATATTTTCTCTCAATTATTTTCTTGTGATTTTACAATCCCCTTCCAGAATTCTTATATATTTTTACTCATATTATATTTATTTAGCTTTGTCACTATTTGTTTTTATAACTAACTTCTCTTTATTTTAGGCCAGGAAAAATAAACTGAAAAATTGTATAAAAAATAAATGACTTGAATTAACTTTATTTATTCAAAAAATGGCTATAATAATAAAATATTTTCCCGTTAACTGATTTTCAATTTTTTAATAATAAAACTATTGATAAGTAAATAAATAAATACTACATAAAAAAATAAAAACAACTAAATAATTGTGGTGTTATCCCATTTTATAATCTTTAATAATCACTTTTTATACGTAATATTTGGATTGGGTGGTTTTATCTTCCATGTGGCATTAATTTAGTGGGAGGGCATCCATGCCCCTTCAAATGTGAAGGCATGGAAGAAAAACCCTTGCTAAAATACCCTTAATGAAAATGGTGGGGTGTATTAAATAAGGTGAAAACGGTGTAATAAATAAAGTAAGTGAGGGTAGTTGTGGTATTTTAAATGTTAAAAAAGGTAATGAGAAGATATATGTAAGACAAATAAAAAAGGCTAATGGAAATATCTATGAGGGACGGATGGAGTATTATTTATCTTACTGCATCATCTAATTTGCTGATAATTTTTCATGCCTAGGTCCGAACACTTCAGACTATATGTTGTTGGTAAAATTCGCGAGATCTACTCAAGGACCGAATTTGAGTACATAATCTCAACATTATGATGTGCTCATGTGTTTAGGACAAAGAGAGTAAAATTATACTTTTCACCAAAAGTAACGACCCGGGGCTTAGTAGTTACCTAGTATTTTAATAAAAATAAATATAATATTTAATTATATTTTTTGACAAAAAATATGAACTATTTATAAACTTGACTTTTTTATTTAAAAATTAAATTTTTTTGGGTAGATCAGAAGAATTGTGATTTTCCTTAAACAATAATGTGAGAGTACATGTGTTTATATACACAAGCTATTCCTAATCCTAATTATGGTAGGATTCTACAATAGGAAACAATATGTGTACAATAAATATAGAATATATATTTAATATAAATATAATATATATTTAACATGCTCCCGGCTACGTCGGCGTCGGTGGTGGGCGAATCCCAAGGCTTGTCTGAAAATCTTGAAATAATATGGACGGGAGGCCTTTTGTGAAAATGTCGGCATACTGTGATGAGGACAGCAAATGAAGAACTCTAATCTGACCAAGGGCCACCTTGTCACGAACAAAGTGAATGTCTACCTCAATGTGTTTGGTGCGCTGATGCTGAACGGGGTTAGTGGTAAACAGCACTTACGTTATCGCAGAAGATAAGTGTGGCGCGGCGTAGGGGCTGTTGTACCTCGAGAAGAAGATTTCGAATCCAGCTGGTTTCGGCAACGGCTCGGTACTCTGCTTCAGCGCTGGATCGGGAGATAGTGGCCTGGCGTTTAGTGGACCAAGAGATGAGGTTGTCACCAAGGAAGACACAGTAACCTGATGTGGATCGTCTGGTGTCAGGGCACCCAGCCCAATCAGCATCAGAATAGGCCTGGAGAGAATCTGTGCTGGAGGGAGATAGAGTCATACCGTAGGTGGAGGTGCCACGGAGATAGCGTAGGACGCGCTTCATAGCCGTGACGTGGGCATCCCGGGGGGCGTGTAGATGGAGACAGAGCTGCTAAACAGAGTAAGAGATGTCTGGCGTAGTGAATGTGAGATACTGGAGGGCTCCAACTATGGAGCGATAGAGAGCTGGGTCGGCCGCCTGGGAGCCTGATGTGCCAGACAGTTTGGCCTTCGTGTCGACCGGAGTGGAGATGGGACGACAAGTGATCATGCCGGCACGCTCAAGGATGTCGTGCTTGAACTGTGTCTGATGCAAAAAGAGACCATGAGCTGTCCGGTGAACATTGATGCCCAAGAAAAAATGAAGGTCGCCCATGTCAGTCATAGCAAATTCCCCCTTAAGGCGCTCAGTGAGGCGCTGAAGGAGAGACTCAGAGGAAGCTGTGAGAACGATGTCATCGACATAGAGGAGTAGGTAGGCAGTGTTTGTCCCATGAGAGTAGATAAAGAGAGAGGCGTCCGACTTACACCCTCGGAAACCCAGCGTGCAGATGAACCCAGCAAATTGTTGGTACCACGAACGAGGAACCTGTTTCAAGCCATAGAGAGCCTTCTTGATCCTGCATACATAGTCGGGCCTGTGAGGATCCTGGAATCCTGATGGCTGAGAGGCATAGACAACTTCCAGCAGATGGCCATGAAGAAAGGCATTTTTGACGTCCAACTGGTGGATCGGCCATCCTCGAGAGAGAGCAAGACTGAGAATGACACGTATAGTAGCTGGCTTGATCACAGGGCTAAATGTCTCATCATAGTCGACTCCGAATCTCTGGTTGAAGCCCCGAACAACCCATCGAGCTTTGTACCTGGTTAACTCACCTGTAGGGCCAAGTATGTGCCTAAAAAGCCATTTTCCGGTTATGATATTTTGGTGAGGGGAGGGGGGTACTAATTCCCATGTATCATTCTTAGTCAAAGCATTAAATTCTTCACACATAGCATTGTGCCAATTGGGGTCTTTGAGAGCACTACGGTAGGTGAGAGGTAGGGGGGAGATGGGTACGGTGGTGTTGAGGTTGAGAATGTGTTTGGGACAGGTTATGC